TTAATTTTGGATCAAGATGCTTACTTGAAATGATAAATTTCAAGATCTTTTGAATTGTTGAATCAACTTGCTTTTCAAAACTCCAAATCTGCAATTTTCTTGAATCTATAATTAGTACATCAAAGATGGAAGATTCATCTGTAATTAGTACATGAATCTAGTCAATTAACATCACTTTCACAGCAATTAAATCACTTTATCTGTGCAATGCAGTCGCCTAATTGTCATCCAAATTCGATTAGGTCAATGAACTTCAATTTACAACAATCTAGTCACTTAACTTTTATTTAACAACAATCAAAAGACCGTATTTGGGCGCATTTGACGGTGTAACATTTTTGATGACGAAATTGGTGTTTAAAAGCATTCCACAAAATGATTGTGTTTATGCAAAACGAGTAAGCCCTGTAAAATTAATTTTTTTATTTAATTCAAAGTCAATAATTATTTTTAACCACATAATTCATGAAATTCACAATTTTTTAATCACATATTTTATTAACTTTTTTTCCCCTATCGAATAGGGGCTAAGTTTTGAAAACTTTGTACCTCTTCCTAAATAAATTTCGTACTTTATTGAATCTCAAATATGCAATACTAAAAAGTTTTGTTTTCAAGAACGCAAAACACGTTCAAAATTTTAACTTCAGTGTAGCGAAAGAATTGGTCAAATCAGTACAACCAGCAATTATTTATGCTTACTGTAGAAGAAACTCCAATGTCTTTGGCATTCTTAAATTAATTTTCATGTCTTCTTCATTTATCACATCAATAATTTAGGCCAAGAAGAGGACCCAAAATGAGTGGGTCCAAACCTGTTTCGCAGCCACCCTATAATTTTGTGCAAGCGTCCTCACCTACTGAGTTGACAAATTTGTACGTGACAATTATTATTGAATGAAAAAGCTGACTTATTTTAAATTGCTCAATAATAAGATGTCATGTGATATTATGTCATTGATTATGACATCTTGCACCATAGTATAATTGGAGTTTGGAAAATATTTGTGTTATGACTCGTCACTATAAACTGCCACGTGGTCGTCAGAATCAATGTGGTACCTAATCCGAACCAATCATCCAAACCTAGGCCCTGCTTCTGAATAGGCCGAGGCCCCTTATCCGAGGCCCTGCATCAGCAGAAGTCCAATTACTTCTAAGGCACCTCTGAAATTCGAGGTTCTGTTATCAGCAGAGGCTCAAGTGCAGGTTCCCGCTCGCGACGGCCCAAGTGCAATGATTTGATCATGATGAAGATCTCCATACGAATGATTGATGTGACCCATGTAATAAGTGTGTATGTGTCTTGTCTTGTCAATATAAGAGCATTTAATGCTTTGTAAAGCTAGTTAAGTCAACATGATGGCTATGATATGATGCTTTGGCCCAAGAGATGAAGCCACGTGTAAATTGATATAAGGATCACCATTCCATTTATAATACTATAAATACTCCCACCATATAAAAATTATATGGTAATGAAACTTAAAATACTCAGAGCAACACATCTTATTTTCTTGTCAGTTTATTACAACTACAAAGATTGCCTTTACCGATTGTTCATAAGACAATCTTGTTTTGTAAACCTTGCTGGAGCCTGAACGGAAACGTTTCGTGCCGTTGAGCTTCTCCTACGTCCAACCTCTGGAATGATCTCGACCATGTATCTATCTTAACATGCCGAATACGGCTTACGCATGCAAAAGTGGACTCGATATCTGTTGAGTTCATTTTTTGATGTCAACAATTTGTTTCATCAATCATGCTACAGTGACACAATCTTTGACATAATAGTAGACATAATGTCACATGCCGTTTTATCATTTAACTATTTCAAATACGGTTAGTTTTTCTTCCCAATCTTCCTTCTGTCAAAGAATCTGGCCAAATTCTTTTGTAGTAGCATTTTCCTTTCTAACGTTTTAAATATATTTTTATTTCCTTCTTAATTTTTTAATATTTTGATCCATGATATAGACATCCATAAGAGATTGAAAAATGACAAAATCTTTTATCCACTAAAACACACATAAAATGAATCTTTTCCTTTTAATGCTTTCATCTTTCTTTAAACGTGATATTTGAGCGTGTGAACATTTTCCACTTCATTTTATTTTTTGCAATTTTTTTATTTGAAGAATATCTTTTTTTTTCAACTTACAATTACTTTTTCACTTATTTTCAATAGCTTTTATGTTTCTTTTGAAGACTTTCAAGCAGTAAACATTGAACTAACGGTTCCTAATGTCTCATAGTCGACTTTTCATTATGAATTTTTTAAACATGTGAGTCTCTTTAAGTTGGTCCCTATTAATTGAAAATATCTTGATTCAACTACTCTTTTGAATAGATAGAGAACGTGACGAGAGAAGATTTCTACAGTTTGAAGACTTGCAAACAAAAAAATATTAAAATAAAGCCCAACTACACATGTAATGAAAATGTTGGGACCACAAATGCAATTTGTCTTCAAAAAACAAATATTTTCTTATTCCCTCTACCTTATTTCAATTGGTGAACTTGTGATATAATTTATAATTAAAGCCCCCTCATCATTCCTATTACACAATGTCTCATATTTATTGGTAGAATAATTTCCCCGCGTGAGCTTACGAGCCAATTGGCCCTGTACAAGTAGCATACTCCTTATTGATAGTGCATTGTTTTAATGCATACAATTTATGTGTACATCTATTGGGCGCAACCAAAATGTTTGCAAAAATGCCGCACGTACAAGGCCACGTTGGTTCTGTACGTGCCAGGGGGAGATATTTCTCTCCCCCGGCACGTACAGGGAGACGTGCACTTATACGTGTAGTATCGTTCAACTATTTGGTTTTCAGTGAAAGAAAATATTAAATAAAGAGCATAGGCTTAGTGGAATCATTAGATCAATATAAAATTGTTCTCAAAATTGTTTATTCTACTTAGCACTTTTTTTTTAACATGCGCGAAGAGGCCGACAAAGAGAATGGATAAATTTGCAATTACAAGAATCTACTTTTGTCTAAATAAAATGAATAATGTGCTTGATGGGTTGTACTGGTTGTGATATTGGTATAGAATGAAAGTATTATTGAACGATAAGGAGATATTACAGAGTATAAAATTTTGTCTTCTTTTTTTGTGTCAAGCTGTACAGTCTAATTATTGTCGGGTCAGGAGCTCGATAGTTATTATGCTTATTCTACTCACGTCCAGGCTTTCAAATCACTAAATCGTTTACATAAAAATATCTGTGTGGAGTCTCGGCGGATCAACCTTATAAACGGGGTGCATTCAGTAGAATTTTATATTATCCTCAACTAAAAATATGTTAGAGAAAATAGAGCGTGCAATTATTCTCTAAAACTTATTTTCATCATGGTGAATTTCTGCGATGACAGACGAGGACGTAGTTATAGGTGGTATACGCGGGGATGCAAATGGCAAGATGGTGGCTGCTTTTCCAGAATTCTCACTAGTACTGGTGAACTTTTCATTAGCAAGGACTTGACATCTCATTAATAGAGACAGATTGTAGCAACACTGTGAATGCTATTCAAATGCCACATCTGTATTGTGATAAGAGGCAATTATCTGCACCATAACTGATTGCAAAATTTTCATCAGTAGATAGTATGACATAATACAATCAATAAAGATTACAACTTTTTTCTTTCACTAAGATTGCAACATTTTCTATAGAAGACCGTAAATAGCGTATTGACTAAAAAATAGAAATGAAATTCATGTGATTACTTTCACCACAAAAGAAGCAATCATGTGATATCATCTCTTTGTATTTCTAATCAATAAATATACACCACCCAATTTGAAGATAAGTTTCAATGTAACGATCGCGTGCGTGTGTAAGATCATCTATCCAAATCACGACATCTCGAACCTTGAGTCACTCAAAATGTTACACCTAGGCGTTGCTAACCTACTTTATTACTCTCTCTTACCACATCGGACATTGAGGTATCGTGATTTGAGTGACTCGGAGTATGAGATGTTGTGATTCAAGTGAATAATCCTACTATGCGTGCATATAGCACTGTTACATTGAAGCTTTTCTCCTCAAGTTGACCATTTTTTTTTACTTCCTTTCGAGGAATAAATAAATGGCCCCGAGCCCGACCCAAGTTGGCTCGAGTTAGTTTGCATCGATTTATTCATCTTGTCGATTTCACTCAATCCGAAATGTCAGTTCAATTGTCGAGTTGGGTACAAACCTAATCTCTGTCCGACCCCCTTTCACTTGGTTTATCGACTTCCTCTTTTATTTTTCATACCTCCTTAAGACAAGATAAAATAATTGGACAAACGATTAAAAAATTGCCCGTCATTATAATATTACTGAACGGATGCCTTTTATAGAAAAAATTCATAATTAAAATTTGTGAAAAATTATTTATATAGTTAATTTACAAAATTGAATAATTATACGTATTTTGGCAGTAAAAGGAGTGGTTTTATTCCGTATATTTTGTTTCCTTTATTTCTCCCTCCAAAAGTAGATCAAAGTTGAAAAATGCAATTGCCATGCGGGCATTAATTCTTCCCCCCCACTCCGGCTCCTCCTCCCCCACCCATATATCAGGGTTTCACGGTCTCCCATTAACAGAGAGGCGAAAGTAACCGCCCCTATAAATTCTTGCAGTTTGGTAAACAACTTCTCATACTTCTCTCTGAATATTCTTCTATCTTGAACCCTCTTTTATATTTTATATTTCTTGAATTTTTATACACGTATCCTTGCCCAGAACACTCTTAAACTAAAACCCACAAAGGAGAAGGATCACAAGATGTTCGTACCCATCTTAAAGATGCTGTTTTGGGGACAAATCACTAGTAAAATCAGATATAAAAAAACCCCATGGATCCCTTGCTTGTCCTTATAAAATCTTAAAGTGATGTCCAGTTGGTTACATGATGAAATAGCGCAAAAATTGAATTAAATTGAAGCCACGCCGCCTTTTGGAGTGATTTTAATTGAAAAATCAAGGATCGTCATCATGCCGCTTCCGTGGAACAAGGTGAAGAGCACAAGAATTTCCCAGCTGGTGAATGGTCACTTGCAGAACTCTCAAAGAAGACGTGGGGACTCTTCTCTTATGGTGGAGACTGGGTTCCCCACTTCCCTTGTGGATTTTTACATCAAGAATCGAGAAAAACTGAAAAAACCATCGAAGAAAAAGAGGGAAAAATCATCTTCTACGAAGTTTGATGATGCAGCGATTTCTCGATCCTCGCCATCTCCTATGCATTCGCCTTCTCTTGATCCCTCTCATACTTCGCCTTCTCCTGATCCCACTCCTCTGGCTTCACCTGTGCATAGTCCATCGCTTTTGGCTTTGACTCCAGAGTCAACGGGTGAGAATGGTGGGGAAGATGTGGGAAGTGGTCTTAAGAAGGGCGTGGATACTAACAGGATTTTCCTGGCAGTTGTGAAAATGTTTCTTGTTGTGGTTTTGGCTTTCGGGTCCAAGAAATTCGCTTTTGGGTTCACGGCATCGGCGTTCTTTTTGTTTTTCGTCGATTATGTGTTGAAACACTTGATTGGATTGTTGAAGCCGTCTTTAGAAGCACAGAAGGGGTTAAGATTGAGGGTGCAAAGGGTTTGGAGAATTTTCAGTTTCGAAGAGGACAAGTTTGTTTGGAAGAAAGCTGGTATTGTGAAGTCGGAGATACAACAAGTGGAGTGTTTTAGCCCGGTTTATTCTGGTTTGAAGGATTGTGAATCGAGTTTTCGAACTGAAGAAACTCAATTTGTAGGAGAAAAGTGTTATTTGCCCCGTATCAAGGAAATTCTGCGCGAGGAGATAATCGAAGAGTCTGGCTATGATGGGGATATGGGATATGTAGAAATGGATAGACAAGAACCAATGACTGCATTGTCAGGACCGGAGAGAAAGAAGTCCAGGAGGTCAAAGATAAAATCGAAAATGAAGAAATTAATGCCAAAGAAGTTTCGAAGTTCAAGGAGAAAGGAACATTCTGAAAGTAGTGAAATTTGTCCAATCAAGGAAGATAAGAAACACTCAGAAAGTGGTGATATTAGTCCAACCAAGGAAGACAACATTGCTGTACGTGAAGAACAAGAAGCAAATGCATACGAGGATGTAAGGGAATTAGAAAGTCATTGCAAGATGTCTTCTTTATCAAGTGAATTGTATGACAGGGAAGATTTTGTTGCTGCCGGTTATTGTAGACATGAATTGTCGAAAGGTAAAGAGGCGAGTCTAAATGGGGAACAGGAGAGAACAAAAGAGGGACAGATTTGGATGTATTTTGTACCCTGTTTGATTGTTCTTATTGGACTTATTGAGGGTAGGATATTCGCCCTTTTCCTTACATTATTCTGGTGCTTGCTTCTGAAATCAGGCGAAACACTACCTAGATACATAAAGGTTCCTAGAATCTGGTCTTTTGCTAAAATATCTAATTAGATTTTGGATGTTCTTGTTCATAGGGGCCTTTGATTTTTTACTTTTTGTTCTCTGTGTTGTTTCCTCTCTTGCGAAATGGCCTTTAAACCACAGACTGTTCTAAAAAGCTTTACATATGCAGAATGTTCAATCTTTGGTTGGCCACTTCGAGGTGTGTACGCCCGACTGCTGTAAATGTATAGATACAAATCATAAGTTATGATACATGTTTGATATAAAAAACTTTTCTTTGCGTGCTTACTGCTCAATGCTCTGATTTGCTTTTTCCTTAGTTCTCTTCATCTTGTAGACATTTACTATCTACTTATTCTGATATGAAATGAAAGCGAAGCTGTATGTTTGAAGTGCTGAATTTAGCAGTAAGATTTCAGGTTTCCCATTGGAAATGGTGAGGGTTCTTGTGCAATTTACTATCATCAAGGCTCTGATTGGATATTTAGAGTCTTGTCCATTTAAGAAGTGTCTTGGGAAACACGATAAACTTAGGACAGTTTTGGCATGCTACCAGATCATAACACTGTCCAATTCCGTCTAATATCGCTTGCCAAACATGCATCCTGGAAAACTTGCAATATTGCTTACCAAATATATATGTCGAAAAACTTCTTGAGAGTTTCAGAGTGCATATGTTGTGGTAAGTTGCTTTCCTGTGTTTTCACACTCCCTTGTATAATTATTGATTGCTACTGCTGCTGGGAATCTAACTTCCATTGAGCCTTTAATGAGTTGAGATTTGCTTAACATTTTGTACAGCTAAAGCTGCCTATCTTTGGTCCTAAATGTATAATCTTACTTCTGAGTTAGGCCTTCTTATGTTGCGTGTTTTATCTTGACTCATTTATCTTAGAAGCTAACACTACTAGTGGATGCAACTGTTACATTGAGTGAGGATAATTGTAAAAGTTTATTCTTTGCTTGTTTCGATTTTATTTGTTTGCACTGAAACTATCTTGGTCATTCACAGGGGAAAGTATTATATCTTGGATATGCTTATCCAGTCTCGACAAAGGCATCCATGTGTAACTTACATGTAAATTTAATTGTCTGTTGTACTTAAAATATCAACCTGTCTCAATGCAAGCATCCATGTGTAACTTTCTCAAAGATCTCCACTTTGTTCACCTTCCACGAGGAAAAGCAGTGGGTAAAGAGACATGGTGTTTCGTCGTTTGTAAATATCTTGTCACAGCATATTCTTTAGTACAATCAGTAGCATGATTTGTGAATTAGGAATGTCCCCATGAGTTACTATTAGAAGTTCATCTTGTAATACTATAAAGTCTTTGTCCGACAAGTCACCATTGTTTCAATTTAGTTATGTGGAACAGGGAAGACACTCTGAGATAAAGGGATTGTGGGGCTTCTGGTGTAGGTTAAGAATGCAGTTCCATGTGAGATTGGTGGAGGTGAGGTCAGTTAAAGCCAGCCGAAATAAGGATTTGATCATATTCGTTTACAAGATCGAAAGCCTAGTGTCAGGTAGGGATTGAAGTAATTATACATCGTGATTAAGGAATTGTTTACTCAGCCCCAAGATTTTGGTCTTTTAGTATATTATTGATCTCGAGAGGAGATACGGTGTTAGGGTAGATATTAAATGGGAACTAGTCGTAAACTTTTTGATAGAAAAAAGGCAAGTTAATAATAAATCAGCGGTCAAGGGCAACACAGCTTTCCTGCTAGAGGATGCGAATATCTAATTGAAATTGAAAAATACATAATGAAATAAACATATTGCAAGACCAACCAATTAAAATTGTGCTTTGAAGCGATCAATTGTGCTCTTATCCACCTGAAATGCCTTGGCAAGAACGTCATCATCGATACCTGGTACTGAACCAAAGACAGAACTTGCTACTATGACGATTCCGGGGTTTTGGCTGCTCACAGTAGAGATGGTAACAGCATTTCCATATCCCACATTTCGCTGGAAGTGAACAAGTCCCATTGGGAAGACGAAAACATCACCCTTTTGTAGGACTTTGCTAATCAACTTGTTATCTGGGTTGGAGGTCACAAAGCCAACCTGAATGCTGCCTTCTAAGACAGTAATAATCTCAGTGGCTCGAGGGTGGAGATGGAGAGGAGCGACGCCCCATGGAGCATAGTCAAAACGTACCAATGCTATTCCAAGCGTGTTCAATCCAGGTAGTTGTGACAGTAATCCAGGTAGTTGAGCCACTGTCACGGGAGTGACGCTGAAGCCAAGAGGGTTGGATGTGTTGCCTGCTAAATGAAGGCCACTGTAGGTGAAGTGTTCAGCTTGTACTAGCTTTGAGTCCATGCATGCGAGGCCATTCACTAGTGCTGCAAGATTATGAACAAAAGAATTAACAAAAACCAACAATTAAATTCACAGATGGCAGAATCCCACATTGCTGGAGAAGGAAAGGTTGTGGACTACATATGTAATACTTGTGCATATTACTATTGAGGGCTTTGTCACGTGGAAGTAAAATGGGGGTGCGTAACGTGCGTTGTAGCCAGAACCTCGTAATATTGAATAGGTTTGACTCGCCGTGACACAATAGTATAAAAGCTCAATACTCCAGCGTTGTGTACGAGCAAGGATGTTTGGTCCCAATGAGGGTGGAAATAGAATCCCACATCATGTATGGAAGGAAAGGTGATTTGCGCGAACTACCATTAAGGCATTTTTCATAGGCATGTAGGCAATGAATCGGTTTGAAAGTAAAAGTCGCCAAAAATTGGTAGAATGCTCTCGAAACCAATTCATTTGAATGAAATAGAGCAGGTGGAATTTCGTGTATCCCTATGTAAAAATCTACTTTTGAGCCAAGACCGGCCCTTATATTTTTTGGGCCTTGTGCAAACTTCAAATATAGGGTCCCTATGAATATTAAACCCTTGTTTAATAGAAACTAAAACCAAATTTTTAGCATATTTTGATAAAAATTAATAAAATGCGTGGTTAAAAAGTTGTAGGTCCTATAAAATATGTTATCCAAATTAATTATTGACTTTGAATTAAAAAATAATTAAACATAATCAGGAAAATTGGAAGACAAAATACAAAATTTAAATTACTGCACAAACATAAAAAAGAAAAAAAAGAATAATAAATGGATTGAAAAAATCCTAATCCAAAAATTACATAACACACAGAGAAGCACCAATTTAATCAAAACATTACTCAATACAATGACACTGAAAAACTTGAAAAAGATTGACAGATAAAACGAAATGCAAGAACCTAAGGAGAGAAATGAATACCAGTACCTCTAACAGAAACTCATTGAATAAGTATAAAATCCACCATAAGAGCATTAGAAAAAGTAATGATCGTAAATTTTGAATAGAGAAAAATTATAGTTTGTTTCTTGTTAAGAAAAAAGAAAAAAGATAATTGGGAAGATAGATTGTGAACTTAATTATATATAGAGAAAGTAATGACTGTAATATATTTATGTGATATATAAACGCATGTGATAAATTTTATGTCATTTATATGATTTTTTTACATATGTTTGTATTTTTAAATTTTATTAATTTCTTATGTTTGCATATGATAATTCTAATTTAAATAATTTCGTATTTATAATTTTCTTTTTTCTTTAATCAATCAATCAACCTTACGTAATTTATGGCCCTCATCAAAGCGGAGCTTTAGGCGATCGCATACGCTGCCTGTAGTCCGAGATGGCCCTGTTTCGAGCTATCTTAATCTTTTGGGGGAAGGAGTCTAAATCAATGAACATTAATGAATCATCATTGATGGGCGCTGCACATGACACCATCAATGAGACTCAAGGTCCAACTCTAAGGGTCCGTTTGATCGTCAAAGGTGGAAATACTTTTCAATTTCATGTAAGTTGGAAAATAAAAATCAAAGTATCTCATATAAATGCATTTTCCATGAAATTGACAAAAAACAAGCTTAAAGTAGTTATACATTGGAATTCGAAATCAATTTCCACTTTCATATCAAATAGCAAAAGTAGAAATTAAATTCCTCGAATGTGACATTGTCCATGGAATTTAAACAAATCATACGGACCCTAATAGGAGTTGCTTACTTTCCTAGTGACAAAGGAAAAGGGCAGGGCCTTTTTTGTAGTAATAGTGGGGGTGGGCGAATCTCATGAGATCTAAGTAAAAGGGGAACAGGTCAGCCATAAAGACTTGAACATGACAATCGAGTAAGCTTTACTAGTTCTTACACGCGCACACAAACTATTTCAGCCCTTACCTGAACTAGTGTAGTCTGCAACACAAAAATCTTGTAATGGACTTGGCTCAAAGGCCATTGCCAGAGTGCAAGTCATGGCAAGCAAACCAAGCACGACGATTTTGCTTTCCATGTCAATCTTCAAAGATTTCTTCAACCTATTGAATTCTGTGTACAAGTGAAGTTTTGTATACGAACTTTACATCTCTCTCTATACATATACAAGGTTTTTCCTAAAGCTGCCGTCTAAATAGTAATAGTCGGGGGCATCTTTTTAGGCCGTAAATACGAAAAATTAAACCTTCACTTTCGGCCATCGTTGGGCAGATTGTGATTTGTGATTAAGTAATGTGCTGCCGTATGACCTTAACTACGATCTAAAAGAAGCCAAATGGTTACAAGGAGAAAGTTGGAGCAAAAGTCAAGACCCTTCAATAAATTGTTTTTTTAAAAATTTAAATAAGTTCTATTTTGTTACCATGCATTGGAGACTAACACGTAATTTCATAGTTATTGTCGAGGCAGTGTTGCAATATTTTTGATTTAATGAATTATATATCCAAAATTAATATATTAACTATGATGTAAAATAAAACTCAGAACAATTTGATACTATTGACAAAATTTCATTGGTGCAGGAAAATATTTTGGAAAAGTAAAAATAAAAAAAATTAACAACAAAAAGTTGAGCTGATTACTTCGACAACTATATTTGTTTGCTATTGCAAAACGAAGCATTCTAATTAATGAAATCTCCACGAAAATGTAGACGAAAAAAGAATACAATCGACCCCAACTTTCAGACAACTCTTGAAAAAGCTATGAACATTATTTTATGGCCATCCTATTCCCACTTTGACCACTCGTTTCCATCACATTATAATCTCGACTACTTATAAGTAAAACCAAACATTTGACTAGGACAAAGCATTTTGAGTCGTGCTACTTGAACTGGGCCACCTCAGCCTGTTCAAGGAGAATTATCCAAGCATTTTTTTACAAGAACTCTGCTACATGTACACAAATTCTGTACAGATAAGTTGACACATCCATCTATCAACCTACTTGTACAGATGATTTTGTACAAGTAGGTTAGTTGTTTCTACAATGTCCTAAAGCATTCTCTGGCTCATAGGTGGGTAGCCTGATGATTCGGGTGCCTCGTTGCTGGCTCGCTGCAGTATTTTTTTAAAACTTCTTTTTGTTTATTTTTTACAAGCAAAAACTTTTGTAGAGATCTAAAGAAAAATGTGATCGATCCAAGTCCCCAAAGAAAATCAGACAACTAAAGAAATGAACACGCACTACTGGTTGCCACAAAAATAGCAGTTGCAGCTAAAAAATTTCTTTTAGCAGCTGCAGTTAGGCTGTCGGGTATCGCAAGTTTAACTGAGAAAATGGATGGAAATTTGACGGAAGAACTATTGCGCTTGGGCGGAATCAGGATTCAGTGAAACGGGGGGCTAGTGAGTTAGACGGTGGGCTATTGGGTTGGACAAAAAAAAAGTGCTATAAATTATTTTTATTTTTTTTTTTTCTAGTAGAATTTGGCTTGGGCTGGGGTGGGCAAGGGTGGGCTGTAGCCCGCCCCTATCTCCGCCCAATTTGCGCAGTATAAGTTTGAAATAAGGACAATTGTCAAAAGCGAAACTATAGGTCCTGATTTCGAAGCGAGTCCTCAGGATGGAGACCATTTGCGCCAATTTGCTTTTACACACACACACATGTATCGATTTTATTCCAAGCAATGAAGAAAACTGAAAGTTTTAGTGTGTTAAAGAAATTCATTGACTTCCAATTGATGGAAAGATTGGGATGCTTTGTTCATTTCTAAAGAAATTTTCAGGATCAACCCTTGTCTTAATTTGCACCAGTCTGTTGAAATTATCCTTAAAATATTTAATCCCATAAGCTGCTCCTTCAATGTAACTGTTTTGACCATTGTGGTTGATTCCCAAGTCGAAATCTCTATAATTAAGATATGCTCCCCTTGATTTGGAGACAAAAGGAGCCATAAAATTATAAAGATTTCTTGTCAAATTTATGTAATGATTCGCAGCCTCGATTCCGTTCTCATCCCAGTTCGTAGCATATTCGACCTTGACTATGTTACCGGCTCGATGTGGAAAAGGTTTCTCTGATGGTGGAATTTCAGACATGAATCCTCCATAAGGAAATAACTTTAACATTGGAGTTTCCAATTCTATCATTTTCTTAAATATTGACTCCAACCCTTGTTTTGGAATAGGCTTCTTTAGGTAATCAGATTTCCTCTTCAAGTGTTGAAGATTTGGATGAATCCTACTTAGCAGAACTTTAACTGATGTCCCAACTGGGAAATTGTTCCATCGAACAATGGATTCAATCCATGTATGCTCTGTACAGTCAGATTTTCTTAGTCCCAGTTCAGGAAATCTCTCGTTTATGAGGGAAAGTAGTACGGTCGAGTCTCCAAGAAAATAGCCGAGAAATGTAGCTCGTATTGTCTTCTTTCCGACACGATGACTATCATTGGCAACATTGATGGCTGTTTTAATGAAAATCTCCCCGTCCAACTTGTCTAAAATTTGTAGCAAACTGTAAACAACATCGGTTAAATTTTGTGCGTAAGTCCTCTCTACTGTGAAAACAGCGACCTGTAGAACACAAAATTTAAATAAACAAATAATATTTTTTCCTCTCTTATTTAAATTTGCAAAGGAGATGAGATGGTTCAACATTACCGTGGGTGGGACGTGAACGGTGAACCAACTTGATTTTGTATGCAAGGACAACTCCAAAGCTGGAAGCGCCACCTCCGGTAATAGCCCAGAACAAATCCTCCCCCATGGATGCTCGGTCGAGAATCCGGCCATTTGCATCCACTAATCGTGCATCAACTATCTTATCGATCGAGAGGCCATATTTCCTCGCCATGATTCCATATCCACCTCCGCTGAAATGGCCTCCGACGCCCACGGTGGGGCAAGTTCCAGTCGGGAACCCCGTGAATATTACTTTTTTCAGCAATCCTGTAATAAACTTCTCCAACAGTTGCACCAACTTCGACCCATACAGTTTCATCTTCTATACTAAAATTAATTGACCGAAGATTGAACATATCAAGAATGAAAAACGGAACGTCTGATACATACGAGGAGCCCTCAAAATCATGGCCTCCGCTTCTGATTCTCATTTGCAGGCCATGATATTTAGCACAAACGATGGCTGTTTGAATGTGGGATTCATGCAAAGCAGTGAGAATGAGTTGAGGTTTTGGGGTATTGGATTCATTGAACCTTAGATTTCTTATGTAAGACTGCAAAACTGATGAATATGAAGAATTGCTTGGAAAATATGTTGCTGAGAAGATTGGATAAGAAGGATTGGACAACCGGTGAAGACATCCGGTAAAGGTGTGCTCATCAGAAGATTCCGGCTTCCCGGCAACGGAAAGTGCAAGGGCTGATAAGAATGGAAATATTGCCAAGCCTGGAAATCTCATTCTGGATAATTTTTAATTACTTGATGTTCATCAGTCGGGCTGGAACATTGGAATGTATATAGGAAGGCAGCCAGATGCTGCATGGAATGATAGTCGAACCTGATGACACGATTGGTAAAGTAAACGCGACGATTAGATTTGACAAAATTAAGAAAAAGATTATTAACTCACATTATTGAGGTTTTTTAAAGATTATCTATCTGTAGATTCTTTTTGATTCATTTAAGTTTTGAATTGTGAAACTTTACAAAGTGGCAAAACTAAACATTTAGTATATCAAATGGACTGGGGAAAAAATATTTTTGGCATTCTATCTTGCGGACTTGTCACCCTGTTCACCAATAATGTTGTATGTTCTTGTTGAAAATTGGTTACGTATTAAGTGGGGTTTTCCAACTTTTATCAATTATTTAAGCGATTGTTATTAGTCAAATACATGATTTCTTTGATCGAGGGCGTTCTACTCCACGAGCAGATTGACGTAATATATTTATTTTTTCAAAATCAATTTCATGTGAATTAGAAATTAAGACAAAGTAAGTCGCTTAAAACTTGGAATAGTTAGAATTAAAATTGGTAGAAAAATGAAAAGAGTGTTCACTTTAAATAGATCGAGTTTGACACTTTAATAGAATTTGAAAGAAAAATCTACATGTCAATAGATTGGGCCAAAGTCCACACGTGTCGGCCGCTTGATAGCCGGGCCACACTCGTGCATGATCTTAGGTCTTGAGCTACGTCCAAGATGGTATTCGAAAAAATACTACATTTGATTATCTTATATTATTTTTAATTATTACCTTTCAAAAATAATCAAATTTCGACAAAATGGACAGACAAGATTTTGCCATGTGTCCTAGACTTTTTGGGAAAAGTTACTCAGACATGATTTGGAATAGGGGAGAAGGAAACAGGGGCATGCGTCAGCACCCGTTTGGGTCTTTTTTTTTTTTTTTTTAAACTGCTCAATCAGTAAATGACACGTGTCTCACCTATTTTTAACCATGTCCCCAACCCTTTTTTTGTAGCAAAACTGGGACTTTTTAGGGGGGAAATGATGTTTGTACCGGGGGTTGACAACCCCCCTCACCGGCCCCTCACAATGGTGGGGGGCCTGTGAGTTGTATGTTCGAACACAACTATCCAACTTCCATATAAAAGCTTCCAGGTCTAGAGTTTCTTCCATCCCAATATCTCCTCCTCCAATATTATCTATTTCAATCTCTAAAATAATTTTCTACACATTTAGAGCCTGATGCCATTCCAATACTGAGAGATCAAAACATCTTGTAATTTGGAATACTAAAAAGTGAGCTTTGTATCTTGCTATTATTATTGTTCTAAACTTTTCTCCAAATAAATTGAAACTCCGTTCAAATTTGACGCGTAAAATATTTACGTGCATTACATTAAAATTTTAAACAACACTCATAATGAAAATTTGAGATTCAACATCTTGACGCTTGGCTATCAGATCTTGTAACCTTTCAAAAGATATATAAACTGATAAGTTTCACCAAAAAATAAGAGAAGTTTTCACGCTAACTGAGATCTCAATTATCATCAATAGTAGTTAAGTCCACTCTTCTCGATCAAGCGAGTTCTCAATTATAAGTACAAAAAACAAGTCATGGTTCTCGCTGTATTTAAAAAATTCCATGAAAATGCCAGTCCACAATAACCAATTACAACAATATTTACACGAATAACTGACTGGGCCACAGCCTTAGTACAAAGAACTGAATGCAAGTCTCACCCCGAAACATTTTTCCTTACTGAAAATATAATGCTGCTATGTCCTTGGATTATTCTTCTATGCCATGGCTTCATAGGCATCAAATGGTGATTTCAGCTTCCGCGCATTGCCATATATGTATTACAACATCAATATTATGCGAATAACTGCAAGAAGATGCTATTGTGTTTATCATTTGCTTGCTCACTGATCAAGATCCATGTATTCACCAGTCACCCTGTTGAGATATAATAGAAATCAGCATCAAATCATCAGTCATATGGGAAACGGAAAATCCTAAATATGCAATTTGAGATTCAAATCAATCACAATTCGTAGAAAAACAATTAAGATAATTTACCTAAGACGATAATGAGAACATAATATTAAACTCAATCTGTTCATATATTTAAGCAATCGGTTTTGAACATTTTAGTTAATACCCTCAAGACAAAGTTCAAATGGGATGTCTTTGGGAAAAGGACATTTCGCTAACTGGACTTATTTTCCAGAAAAGTAACTTTAAGCACAGCAAACGTGACAGCATAATACAACTGAAACCAGAAAAAGTACTCGAACATAAAGAATTAAAAATCGACCTTCCAAAAATTGGATTAGAATATTGAATGACATTCAATAACCCTCATACCTGTTATAGGACAAGTAACCATCGCCAATAGTTCCTACGACTTTATTCCGTACCTTCCGAACACAAACCTTAAGAAATAAAGATGAGAAGTTAAAAATTTGGTATCCTCGGTAAACTAACAAGATGAAAATAATTGGCGTCAAATATCCTCAAGTTAATTAACAACACGGATAATATTTCGGTGTAAAAGCACACCTGAACTGTATCTATAGGGCCAGCATCTGGATCCCTGTTACGATGAATAACAATTCCATTATCACATTTGTTTATAAAGTGTGCACTCCCACTGATGTCGTACAAATTCGGGGGATTTCCAACCCAATTATGCAACTGTTAAAAGACGTTTAGAGGTTATTTAGACAAAATCCTTGGAGTAAATGCATAGTTCTACAATTGCTAACCTGTCTTGGATGTGCTACAAACCAAACATGACATGAATGATGTTGAGCAAATCGTTTGATCTTTGTCAGCATCTGACTTACATACTCTGTTTCAGTCCTGTTGTATACAATATTAGCATTTAAAAACACATTGTATTCGAACAATTCAAAAGAACACAAAATAATTAATTTCACAAGAATTTTCTTTTATCATTTTGTCCAATACAATGTCTTCAACTTCAAAAGCCAAATAAAGCCAGATACTGAACAACAATAATGACACTGAAAAATAATATTATAAAACTTCAAGAATGTCGACGCTTCTTTTATAACACGAGTATTGTTATTTTCTGGGCCTATAAAATCAGATCTTTGAAATTAACATCAAGTCCCCTCTTGATAAAACCATTTGATGATCTAATATCATCAACTCCCTTCTTGACACAAAAAGCGCAAAACAAAACACTTTCACATCGACTAGAATCATGATTTCTCAATCTTTATGTCATTATTAAGGATATTCAATGGCATTAGAGAAACTATGAGGTTTGGTTAAACATATGGTGTAAACAAGACTGAGGAATAATTGTATGGTGACTTCAAAATTTTCCAACAATAAAAATATCACATAACAACATATAATTAGCTGCATCAGTGAATTTAAATAGAAAAAGGGAAAATAGCAAACTCACTGGCTAGGAGGACGCTGATGGTCAAGCTCATTATATGGATCAATAACAAGCCCATTTACTCCATGCCTTAGAACTGAGAATCTTGCAAGCTCAAGAACCCAATTTATACTTGGGAGGCAATCATTCTCGCACCTGTTATGCAACCCATTATATTTAGTGGAAAAAGGAAAGAAATACATAGCATATTAGAGTATCAAATAATCTTCAAGAAACAATATAAGCTATTCAAAATTAGCAGTGTGATGACAATCCTCATCATCTAGAGCATTGGAGGGTTTAATCTTGAGCCTACTTGATATGGATAAGGTATTTTGTATACATGAAAGCATGACACATAGTTATCCATATGCACACATAAATAGTGTGACAAATAGTGCAACACCCTAGTCAGATAAGGAACAATTTCATAACTATTCCAATCTGAACAATCTTTCAAATAAAATCATTAATGCTGAATATACAACATAATAACGTTTAACTGTCGCATAATATGAAGAATTCCACTTCAATGGAACTCCATTCCAACTCCATTCTGGGCAAAAAACAATTATGGCACAAAACATTGGATTAACATCATGTTTGACATCCATTTTAATGAGTTTTTTTTGGGGAAAATGAGTTTTGGAATAGTGATTTACTGATTTTTTTGGAGAATGTGGTTAAAAAGTAGGAAAAAGTTTTGGGTTTACGTGCAAAATATTTTATTGTGAACGAGTGGTTGAAAATGAGTTTGAGAAAAAAAGAGTTTTGATTTAATGGACATGTCAAATAGGGGCTAAATTAAATCCATCTGGTACAGCAACTCTCAGCTCAATTATTATCACTGGTTTATACCCCCTAGCATAGAGAGAACTAATCAGTGGCACATTGATTTATTCACATTTACATACAGTGTAAGACAGTCCAACCCCGCAAATGTCCAGAAAACAAAGGAAAAATTGATTAGATTTTGCCTACAAAATGCCTGCAGTTTCTCGCAGCAGCTTCAACTCATTCCAGTGAAGAACAGTATCAACATCAAATAAGGAAAACAAAGAACGCTAGTAAGTATTTGGAATCACCTTATTAGGGAAAATGTATCACTGAGCCATCTCTTTCCTTGTTCCAACTCCTCAACATTCATCCGCTCAACAGATTCTCCATACCTATTTGCAGCAATGAATCAAACGGGAGAGCAAATAAATGATTAACAGACCAGTCTGCAAAGCTCAAACAACATATCATATAAAACTGTCTGTCCATATTCAGCAATGATCTCCCATTTCGCAACAGATAATATTGCTCCAGTATCATTGTATAAAACTCGCTCTTTATTTATGTTGGAATGACTTCTCCAAGTAAAGGTAAAAGGAAATCTTATTTCAACCCATCCAAAACCTTTTCCACTTTTTAACCACACGTTCTCCAAAAATCACTATTATAAAACTCATTCTTTAAAAAAATTGGGCTCAAACACAACCTATGTTCCCAAGAATGAAGCATCCGTTGATTTAAAACTTCAGGAATTTTTTCAAAAACCAAGGCCTATCAATCTCCAGGTAAGACCCTGGACTTTTAGATGAAAAGGAGAAATAAAAGGGAACTCTAAAAAGTACGCCAAGTAGGGTTAACTTTTTGTATGGACAACACTCTCCTTCATGAAGTCAATCATACCACTCAGTCTTTTCCGACAACAAAAATATTTTCTTATTAAATATCACTTATGTAACACCCCAAAAATTTAAGAATAAAATTATTTGTTCTATATATTTTAGTTTATGATTTTGAAAGTTGAGGGACTAAAATAAAGTATGTTTTAAATTCTTATATTTTTGGGCCAAATACTTGGTTCTTTATAGAGTGACCAAAAGTATATTATTTTGGGCTCATTAGGTAGCCGAATTAAATGATATTTGTTGGGCTAGAGAGAATGTAAGATTTTGTAAGTTTAGCCCAAGTTATTTTATTTCAAAGAAAATGGTATTTAATATATATTTTGTTACTTAGTGCTTGTCTGGTAGGGATTTTTGGGGGAAGAATTGATTTTGAATAGTGATATGATAGGAAATGTATGGTTGAAAAAGAAGAAAGAACTATTGATGTGATGGAAAATATTATTTTATTGAAAAATGTGTAATTGAAAATGAGAATTAATTTTGAGAATCAGAAACAAACAAGCCCTTAATAATATATCTTTTAAGGATAATTAGTAAAGAAATATGATATTTTCCTTAATCATGTTTAACTTTAAAAAGGGATTAACCATATCATATTCTGTTATCCCATTTCAGTTTATCTATGCACATGTAATTGTATATATTTCTGCAAGTATATATTATTTTATTAACTAAGCATGTTTATCTTTAATATGAGAAGATTTAAGTATATCCAACCGGTTCCTCATTTGAAATCCACTATAACAAATCATGCTAATGTACACGTGCACTATATGTATTTATTTTTATCAAATCTATTTATTTTATTTTGTCATTTGGATTAACTATTTAAATATTAATAGAGTAATTATAAATATGTCAATATTATACTCATTAGATATCTCGTAAGTAATTATGTAAACTAGGCTCGAGAAAAAGTCGTTTCGCATAAGTCAGCTCCAAGATATTGCAGTTTGAAGAAATTGTTTAGAATTAGTTTTTCAAACTTAATCGCTGTCACGCGTAGATGAATAAGGTGTTTTCTTTATTTAATTTAATTCCTTTCACTTTAGAATTTGTTGGATGGTTGCCACGTGTTTTGGGATAGAGATAATAGAGATAGTAGAGTGAGATAATGATATAGTACAATCTTCACAAATCCTTTTAGCATGATACCCGTGATTGAGTTCTATCAAATCAATATCTGTTTAAGTAGAACTTTTATCACCTACTCTAACCTCCACCTATAAATAGAGGCATGACGGTAACTGTTACACCACACAAATCAAATAAGTACATACAAATTCACGGTGGCAGAGGGATATCTGGAGAGACTTTGGAACGTGAATTCTTTCTTGAATCAAAAATTCGTGTGATCTAACGAGGTAGGATACTACGTGCAGGTGGATATGTCTTTGCAATATTATAATTTCTTTTACATTGTTTATTTCACGAAATGCTAACTGATCTACGGGTCCCAATGAAATGAAATGTGAGATCTCCTTTGGGTTTTCTCAAATGCTAGAGCTTTCGATTGATCTCCGATTGCTCTTGATGAAATGATGACATGGAATGTTATAGATTTATGTTTAAAGAATTATTATATTGTTTTAGACGCACGTATCCTACTGTGTTTAAAATACTCATTCCTTCAAAACTTTAACTTTTCAGATTAGTTTGGTTCAACATGGATGGTGGCTGAATGGTGCGCAGAATGCCAAATAAAATATTTTCANTAAAACTTTTTCAAGGGAACCATCAGTAATTTTTGTTATGTTTAGAGATTAGTATTTCTTAGATTTCTATTGAACGCTTAAAGTTTTTGATTTAACATTTTGGATCGATTCAATTTGATGTTATAAAACCTTAAATTTTATTAAAGTTTATATCTTCAAATTTAAATATTTCCGCTCTATGTATGATTATGAAATGATATTGGTAATACCCCAAGATTTAAGTCATTAAAATTTGGGGCGTTACAACTTACAAATGCAATCAGTTATTATAGGCAGTCTGAAACTTACCTTACATCAAAGAAAGGCTTCCTCATATGTTTCTCCAAAAGTTTCCTTGCATGCTCCCGGACCTGTAATCCCACAAATCATATACATACTAAAACTTATGTACAAAACTTGAAAGGCTATTCATTCTCCAAATATAAGGTGCAGTACAAGAACAGTAAATCTTTTACGGTAAATACATCAAAGAGTAATAGATTGTCAAGGGAAATGTGCTGAATAACTATAACTTTGACATCCCAACTACAAATTTGACATTAGGAAAGAGATTACAACTAAATTAGCTTGAAGGGAACTGGTTAGCATGGGTAATACAAAATTAGCTCCAAGAAGCCGGGGTCCAAAGATATATGGAAGTATTTGGCAGTCGAGACCTCCAAAGTGTGTAGACACAGCACCAGCCCGAAAAACCTCCTCATACTTATCAAGTGCAAGAATCCAATGTGGGAATAAAAAAATATTGACTTGAGAAATAGATCATCTACAAGTTGCTATACAAGAGTTCGCATCGGAGATTACAATTAATTTCCTAAATCGTACAGATCTTACACATTATCATGAACTTTAGATGGTTATGATTTATCAGATACAGTCTCATACTCAATGAAAAAGATAAATTCATATTATTACACAGCACTTTCCTATTAGCACATGCCTTTAACTTTCAATATCAACTTTCATCTCAGGGATGCAAAAGATAGAGAGCCAGAGTAGGACATCTGTGTTGGGGTCAAAGTTGCCTTCCTATGGTTAGGACGAAATTGACAAAATTCTTAATATTAGGATGAGATTTGATGTATCTCATTTAGTTAATACATTTTGATTAGAATAGCTTTATTTTAGGATTTGATATGATCCTCTCATTTTAGGGATTTGTTGAAATATACATCTTCAGTCGATAGTGAGTTTAAAAATAAAGAAGAGGGAAAGCAGAATCAGTTTACCTTATTCTCCATAGAACAAAGTGCAAATTTCCATCCAACACTTCGATTAAGATTGCACAAAAGAGCATCAATCCACTCACTCTTACCCGAATTGGGAACTCCAGTAACAATAGTCAACTCTCCCGGCACAACCTGGCTTAGAGTAAGATCAAGAACTAAGTGGATGGCATCTATTTGAAAACGCAATGCATCATTAATGTTTTTGACATCAACAGCTATCCAATTTAGTTGACAATTCGGATTTATATATAAACTAGCATAAAAACTAGAAATCAGAAATTAAATACGAATATAATGACAAAAATCAAAGATTTGTCTTCGTAAGTATATACAGTTGTCTGAATATTCTTAATTAGTCCAGAAAAGAAGAGTGCAAGAATTTTCAATTTTTAGAAAATTGTTCACCAGGCCAGAAAATTGTGTGCAAGAACTCCTTTAACATATGCAGCTTTTTCTCTTGTTCACAAAAGAACTCCACGTTTCTCTCCTTCCACAATCAAAAAGAGGAGTAGAAGTTCTGTGTTTAGAACACCTTCATCTCAGCGTCTTTGCCTATCCAAGAGGTATTTCTCGTTCAAGCATACCACGTATTTCCCAATGTATGTCCAAGACCATAGAACATTCACCACTTCGCAATGAAACAGCCCGTGATTTTTGGTCTCCTTACATTTTGTTTACAAAGAACAGTTAGGAGAAATCTTCTTCCTTTGTTTGTCAACCTCAGTTTTCAAAATATAATTTCATAAGAACCAACTACGGTCCTTCAGTAGTAATTGACTGGGGAAAAAGAGGCCGCCTCCTCTTATGACATCATTCTGAATCTTTTCCAAAAGTGTATAATATAATATACTGATCAATTCAAGAGTATCGCCCGTTTTAAATCTTGATGGTTTCTCCAAAATGAAACATCCCATTTCTAAATCCCAAACTTTTCCATTTTTTGCCAACGACAATATTTAACAGCTTAAGAAACTCCTCTTCGAATCCATAACACACCAAACATTATATCAAAATTCACCCTGCTACCATCTTTTATCTAAAACTACAGAAATTTACCTTATTTCTTAACCGTCTTGTCCCGGGAGATGGGGGATAAGTTTTAATTACTTGGGTTTATTACAGTGCTTATCAGATTGAAAGTTTCTCACTCTATCACCTTGCAAGTTGAAGATTGTAACAGATACTCCAAAGCATTATTAAATAACTTTCCAGAAAATGAAATTTACAGAAAAAAAAAGTCCCAAACCAAATTTGCCCAACTTTTCCATCAGCTGAAGAAAATATTCAAATGCATAACCAGAAGAGAGATCCTTTAATATGGAAAATCCCAAGAGATCTTTTTACTTGTCACTTCTTTAAACCATTCTCATAAGATTTTTCATTTTAACAAACCGCTTGTGATTATTTACATAATGAGATTCATGCGTGAATGTATCAAATCTCAATAACTAGTAAAAGAAGTTATTTTTGTACAAGATTTTTCTAATTTGCCAAAATAAATATAATGTTTATTTTCTCAGAAACAAAACGTAGCCATGCAATATCATGCATTCAGATATATTTTTTCAATTCTTCAGAAAATTCCAGTGCATATCATACATATTCGGTGCTTATCGGCCTTTCCGGGTATCCTAAACCCATCAAATATAAATCCTAGCTCATCCACTGATTGTGAATAGGTTAACATGGGAAGAAGCAATGATCATTGAAAGTGGTAAACCGATAATGTTGTGCAAAACGTACTTACATTATATAATTCGTTCAAAGCCCTCCATCCAGTCGAAACTCCAAGCTCATAGCCAAGTGTTTGATGATAATATTGGTCAATCTCTGTAAAGTAATCTTTAAAATTGAACAGCCCCTTTATGGGATAAAGTTCAGCATTTTCAATGACTTCCCTCAATGCAGCAGGACCCATATACATAAGGACCTACATTTAGAATATATGGCTTAGTCAAAGCAATAATATCAATAAATCGTAGGAGTAATGAAGACAATATTTACCAGCTAGTAGAATGTTTCTACACATGAATGCAAGGTCAAAATGAATGGTATTAGGATCTAAAAACACTAAATTCAATACAAAAATTTGCTCATAAACGTCTGACATATGTTGATTAATATGAGAGAATGGTTCTCACACTCTCTAATGTGTCCTAACTGTTGAAGCATGCAAATTTTACTTTTAAACGTGTCGAAAATATGAATTGAGTCTATATGGACTCAAAGTAAATGGTTCCAGAGCTTCAAAGATTCAAAGAGACACAAAATGGTTCCAGAGCTTCAAAGATTCAAAGAGACACACTTCAGACATCATTTTCTGCCACAGTATCAGCAACGAAAGGTATGTCAGTACAGAGTCATGCATTAAATGTGATTTCTAATTTCAACAATGCTGCAATTTAGCAGAACATAGAATGTTAAACAGGTTTGAAGGAAACGTGTTAAACACCAAATTTTAAACATGATTTGCATGGTTGCAACTGAAAACAGCAGGCACAATGGAGGCACTAGCATATCAGTACATTAGAAGCGAAGATTTCAAAAACAATTGAATTTATGGTTTATAATTTGCACGTAACAGATCCTGTAAAGAAGTTAATGAAAAACGAGTTGAAATTTTGGATATTAAACCTCGTTTGCATCTTTAAAAGATTCAGCATTATTCTTCTTTGGCCATTTGACTCGCCAACACCTATTAACACAAAAAAAAAAAAAACCCTTGGATTTTGTTGAGTCATTGTTGATATACTTGTACTAATTGCAAGATAAACCTTTCTCTCCCTAAGCGGCGGGCAAGTTCTTCAGCCAAGGCTTGACCAGGTGGGTCCCCATCTGTGGCAAGTATTATGCGAGATGCCTATCAAACGAAACAAAAGAAAAAGCCTAAAAGCTTTGCATCCCAACAATTTCTTTTTACAAATCATTATCTAATAAAACAAAATATAATCAGAACAAACCTTTTCAATGTACTCTTTGCAGTTCCATAAATATTGATACTTTGTGTCCTAGCTTCAAAGAATGCGTAATAAGAGCATTAGAACCAACACTTAAATGAAAGTTTCATTATAAAATCTATGATGTCAACGACAAAGAGGAGGGGAGCTGTCTTGTTTACTGCCTAGCTCCAGCATACATTTGAAAGCCCTTGTAACATTAGAGGACAAACTATCCTAAAAAAAGAGTAAATTTTCTTTAAAGACCTAGGAATAAATCGGACAATTATGTCAGTAGAAAGTATCATACAGAAAATAAAAAAATCACACTTCTTCAATGGGTAGGTCACAGTGTTATTCAAATAATTTGTGTTATCCGTGGTTTTCCCATGTTGCAACTTCTGTACCAATTAGGTCGATCCGTAAGGTAATTCTTTGATTTGGAGAGTGGAGATCATTGACTTGGCTAATGTTTGAAACAAATAACAAAGAAAATATTGTGGGAAATGATGAAAAAATAACAATAATGATTCTCCCAAGATGGAAGTCAAAAGGTTTGAGAAAGGATTGCATGTAACTCAATCAAGGTCGAAAATGCAGAGCACAAAAATATTGAGGTTAACCGTAGATATCTAGGGAAATAATAAAAGACATCATAAGTGGTTGGTTAAAGAGATGCAGCAAGACAGATACCTCTTCAGCAGAAGGCAGCTCTTTGTTTGAGACTTTTGGAGGTGCACCATCTGGAACACTCACACAATTTTTAAAACCAGCTTCTTCCATTGCAAGCTTATCCATTTCACCTTCAACCTTTATTTAAGAATATAAGAATAAATAGCACAAAAAGTCAAATGCATTGACCATAGACAACAGAACAATGAAGAAATTTAACTTACAATGATAATATCACTAGCTCCCTTTATATCATCCAGTCCATAAAAAATCTTTTGAGTATTTGTTTCCTGCCCATCAGTGTTACCAGCTAAATACTATGAAACTCTCAACAGTAAAACATCAGAACTACTTCTATGTTATACTTAAAGAGGCACATCAGAAAACTATAACAGTCTAATTGGTAGCCTGCGCCATATTATGAATGGTTGGTGTAGTAGGAGAGTTAAATAATCACAAAGAGCATCTTACACGAGTGTTTGTTCTTGGAAATTTAAACGTTTTCAGGCATGAAGAATAACTAAAAATCCACATAAACATACCTGCGGAAATTTAAATCTTTTCAGGCATGAAGCATAACTAACAATACATATAAACATACCTGCCAAAATTTCTTAGTAATATCCCTATACTTGCAGCTCACAAGTTCTCCATTCCGTCGATAGGTGAAAGCAATGGCAATCTGTATAGAATCTTCATCAGACATTACTCCAGCAAAATTCGTAATTAAATCAAAGTCAAGTTACTAGAATATAACAGCTTAGAAGAGTCTAAACAATGTCTTTGACACTCCTCTCTCTCTCTAAAATCTGGTCCCCTGGCCTTCCTATTCTTTCGGGAGAAGGGTAAAGGGTTCAGGGAGGATGTGGTTTCAATGGCAATAACTGTAATTACTGCCATGACTAGAAATAATTCTTTAGCACATCAAGATAACCTCATGATTGCAGACAAATATACAGGAACATTTCTGTAAAGAAAACAACGTCTGCACCTGGTTGCCACTTCTTTTTTGCATTACAGAGTTTCTTCGCAGTGTTTCTCCAGAAATCATTCGCTCAGCAAAATATGCAAGTAGCTGAAACAACAGTCAAAAAGCACTAACAAAGTTGAATATCTCAGTCAGATATAGATAAACCACAAAGAGAACTGGTATAGGATCATAGACAATGAACAAACGGTCAACTTTAATCTGAACATCGAAAAGAGGCACAAAAGTTTACAGTGCCAAACCTGCAGCAAGAACAACATTAGCAAATAGATTCTACCTGCCAGTGATTCATATGGGAGAGAACGTCCAAACATGGATAACAAATAATAATAACTACCTCATTGCACAATGGTTCCAGTTCCAAACTCTCCTCTGTGATTTCTCTGAATGGTTGTTTTACTTTGCTGGTTCTATTCATTTTTGCATAAGTAGATTTTACATCAGCAAAGGCCTGCAAGCAAAATAACCAGTAGACCACATGAGTTGTGCACCATCAGTACTCAGTAGTCAGTTAAGCAACTTCATTTAAAGCATACCCTAGTAGTGCCTCTCCACCCACATTTAGCCCGAAAGCAGGTCCACATTGCTGCAGCACTATGACATACAGGTGTATAGTACTATACTTCTGTTAAAAGAAAAGGAAAACAAGAACACAAAGTATAACAGAAACTTACCCATCTTCTGTGATGTGAAGAGATAAGCTTTTCTCTTCTGAATCTCCACCTTTGCACTACAATGTCAACAATGAGGGGACTCAAGACAATGAAACAAAAACCTAAAATGAGCACAATCTGGTATGTGGTAAATACAAATGCAGTCCCATTGACAAAAACATATGAAATAACTTATTTACGTCTGTTGGCATGTTTGATATATAGTAGTTCTCTCTTCATATACAGTAATAGTAAAAATATTAAATTACTAAATCGCAAGATTTATAGCTGAATAAACTGAAACATGACAAGTCACTCGGAAAAATAATATTCAAAAGCACGTACGTTTGGACACACTAAACCATAGTATTGCCCTGGCTTACAAGCATTGCCGTCAATCCCGATATCCTCCAACTTCTGTTTTAACATCCTCAGCTGCTCCGAATCTAGCACTTGCTGCTCTGGGGTCTCCAAAACAACTCCAGAAACTGGACAAAATTAAATAAAAGCATTCTTCAAAATCCATTAAAAACAGAACAAACAAAACTAGCCACGTACAATAATCTTCAAATATGGTTCCACTTCTTGATGCTGTTGCAACGCTTTTATGATATCACGTTTTTGTTTATCTTTCTATAAAATTCAAATACATATATATTTTTTCCAAACAACACAAAAAACTCAGTTTTACCCCTCTTTTAATCCAACTTATGCATATATGAAATGTAAACATATAATACCCCCATACTTAAGTACGAAATTATATAAACAAACTTAAATACCAAATGAATTTTGAAAAGAAAGTTTCTTAACAATAACGCTCTAAAAATGTGCTCTCTGCTTAACTAGTTGCACCTTCATATGGCAGAGTCTATTTTCAAACATTAATAACACGGCAAATATATTGAACAAAGCATCAAAATAGAAAAGAAAAGAAATAGAATGAAAAAAACCTGGTCTGGGTATAGGCATAGCAGCATGGGGGTAGTAACTCAACCCAGAGGTCATTCGATGAATTGGAGACATGGGTTTCGGAGAAGAAGTAGAAAATGCTATATTTTTTCTACGAGTACAAAATAACTGAGGTTGCGAAGTTGAAGAAAAATGGGCCACATATGTGTGGGTATGTGTTACGGGCGTGAGTGTAGACTTCAGAAGAAGCAAGTGCTTGGAGCCCATGAAAATTACTCTGTTGCAGTTGGTATTGGAGATCAAAAATAGTCTCCTCTGAGGTAAAAGAAGCATATTTTGAACTGAAAGGGTTTCCTGCTATTGATAGGAAGAAGAAGAAGAAGTGGATGCTTGCAATTCCATGGATGATAAAGAAAGAGCAGAGGAAAAGGTTTAAGAAGGGTATACTTCGATTTTACACTCTTTTCTGCGACTGGTTTTGTCTCTTCTTTTCTGCGTTAGTGCGAATAACACTTTTAATAAACGTGTTCCTCAGTCTTAACACCGTGTTTGGCTATGCTTACATTTAGCTTTTAAGAATCTTCTTATTTCTAAATATTTTGGATCAAATGCTTTTATCCCTACTAATATAAAAGAGGCAATCCGCTGGCTACTGTTCATTTGTGAAGCATTTTGCATTCCCATGTTATCTCCCATCAATTAATGGTTTTCCCATTTTATTATTTCCACGCCAAAATTTGGCCGTCTTTATTGACTTAATTGATATCAGTATTTATTTATAATATAAAAAATTTTAAAAAAACCTGCAAACTTACTCAGTGAGGAGAAACCGTCAATTGCAGTTGACTCCATGAATATGTTTGTAGTCGGTTGATTAATTTTTTTCGCTTGCACGTTTAAAAGAAATATCACGCTTGATTAAAAATTAGAATTACAAGAGATAATGATTTTATATTATTGTTAGAATATAAAAATAAAATAAAAAAACAAGGTGAAGACTCCGCACTGTGCGCACAAGTGCGGAGTTCAACTCCGCATTATGCGGAGTTGCTCCGCACTTAGATGCGGAGTTTAGTTTCGCATTATGCGGAGCTCAGCTCCGCACAAGTGCAGAGGGCATAATGCGGAGCTCATCTCCGCACAAGTGCGGAGTTTCAATTCCATATTATGCAAAAATATAAAATCTAATAATATGTAGCAATGGAATGAGAATTCTGCTGGTTGTTAAGGTCTGTTGAGGGGCTAAAATAATGATAATGATAATAGATACAGACAATAGTTTTGGGGAAATTGGGCTTTATTGTTAGAATTTTATTTATTTATTTATTATTTTGATTGAATGGTTCTATAAAGTAATGAATTTTGATTGCAAGAAAGAATGAAGAGAGCCTGGAAATGGGTTACTGAATATTGTGTTTAGCCTATCAATGGGCATTTGTGCAATATCATGAAGCTTCTGTTCCATTATCGATAGTGTAGTTCATCTTGTCATTTATTTAATAGTAGATACTGAAAAGAAAAAAGGCAATGCTTATTTATCATCTTACTCTATCAATGATTTAGAAGTGAACTTTAAATGATATTGAAGACCTACAACTTATTTCCGCAGCTTCTCCCAGACATCGTTAGTCAAGAAATTCAGGTTAACTTATTAAATTTTGTATATTGGAACCTCCAATTTTTTTCCTTACGTAAATCATTCTGAATGTGTCATTCCATTCAATAGGTTAAGAAAAAGATGTACAATATGTGTGAGTACCAAGTACCATTGTATATACCTGTCATTTGTTTTTGGAAATTACAACCTTGAAGAAATTTTAGAATTTGTAATCTAAGTCTCTGTGAAATGCAGGAACTACTGAATGTTTTGTATTTAGATTACTTTATTGTCTTGAATCTATTCCAAATTGTAGAAGACTACGACTATCAAATACAAAATACATAAAATATAAAACGCTAACTTCACCTTCAAAATAACTCACCCCGTACAATGAACGGGTTAAAACTAGTCTTACTTATAAATATAAATAAAATACTACTTTATATGATCAGCTTTACTTTCAAATCGAGTTCTGTATGTCGAACTTTTATTAAAAAATGAATAATTATTTTACTTATAAATAAATATTTTCAATTCTGTCATATACAATAAGTAGTATTCGGTTCTTTGAGTTGGGTAACATAACCTGATGAAGACTTCAAAAATTGTATATACTAATAAAACTTTGAAAACTAGGTTTATAGTTGTCAAATTCGATTCCGGACGTTTTTCTAATTTATCTATCGAATCGACGAATCATTGGTCAAACCAACAGTCTAATGTTCTAGTAGTAGCCCTTGTTTGGTTCATTTAAAAAACGTTGATAAAAATTTAAGTCAAAATAAATAATTAATTTNTTGATAAAAATTTAAGTCAAAATAAATAATTAATTTAATTGCATATTTTATGGAATATATAATTCTTATTAACTTTTTAATCACAAATTTTATTAATTTTTATTAAAGTTTACTATAAAAATATTATTTTAGTTAAACAAACACTAACTTAATTTCCAGAATCAAGCACGTTCAATGTATTCTAGTTGGGTTGACAGAGAAATTAGACTAGATGTAATATATGAGGTAATGGTGTCACATATTTGAATAATCCAACGTTTTAATACTTACCAATATTTGAAATTTCATTTTAAATGGTCAATCCATTTTTAAACATGAACATTCATTTGAACTTTAAATCGACTAAATTACTCTTTAGAGTTCAATAGAATCTGATATCATATTAAGCTCTTGTTTGGGCTCTATTTTTTAGAAAATGCATTTTTCTCTCTTTTATTTTCAATCATATATTCTCTAATAAAATAATATTACATATAAATTAAAAAAAATCCTTATTTTTTAACCGTACATTCTTTAAAAAATTACTATTCCAAAATACATTTTTTTCAAAATTTATTTTTAATAGAGCCCAAACGGAAGCTAAATGCCTGTTTGACTTTTGAAAAGTTAAAAACTACTTCTAGGACTAACATATTACGTTTGGATTTATTTGACTAATTTTCTGAAAATACTTTGTCTAATTAGAAGATCTTTTAAAGAATTTTTTTCCAAGATGATTTCCTCATAAAACTCTTTTACAAAAAGAAAATAAAAAAAATAAATATAAAATGAAAAAACCTGAAGTCCTACCAAACAAGTTCTAAAATTTGGAATTTTTTTTTTAAAATGTCAATCTTGATAATCTAAACACTTATATATTAATAATTGATATTTAATTAACTTGGAATTTATTCCTTTGGTAAATACTTTTCAAGGTCAATGCATTGGAAAGAAAATTTATTTGTAGTTTCACATTGCTTGCAATTTGGAAAGGTCTTTTATCCCGTCATCGTAAATTCGTTGCAATTTGTCTCTTCCGATCCATGTTTCAATATCTATTGTCTAACAAGGGGTTCACATTTAAATTCGGGTAACTTACAAACATACCCCTAAAATTAGGAATCTTTTGATAAATCATATAAAATATACTTTATAAAATTAAGTATTACTTTTTTTATCCTACATCCTATCCTATCCTACATTATTTTAAAACTTTTTTGAATTCATTGGCACTTTTCACAAGCCATTTGGCCATCTAAGCCGAGCCGTGAGCCGTTTTAGCCGCCGAGCCATTTGACTTCTTCTGTCAGTATTTGCGTGTATTACAAACTTTTCAGAACTGACCTTTTATCAAGAAACCTTTTCTCTTCCCCTTCCGTGTTTCATTTTTTTTTTTTCCTTTTTCATTTTTCTCGTGGTTGTAAATTAGGTTTTGTTGTGTTGTTTATGATGGATTCAAGAATTTATCTGCTGAAGTTTTGGGTATTACTTCGACGGTAAGGTTCGAGGCTTTTGTCCATAGATTGTTCGGCTATGAAAAAATAATTTCTTTTAATTAATAGATAATGTTTTGGAGGGGTGTTCTGTGAATTTCTTCGAATTTTAACTGATTCTTGTAACCTCTGCTGGCTAATGTTGCTTAGCTGAATTCATTTATTTATTTATTCTAATTTTTCGTATATGGCTTCTTTCATTGTACAACAATTGAAAGTGGCAGTGTGACTAAAGGAGCTTAGTGTAAGTGGAAGGCTTACATTCTTTTGCTTGTGCAGTCTGATTGCTAACTTGTGTGTTAATTTGTACAACAATTGAAAGTGGCAGTGTGACTAAAGGAGCTTAGTGTAAGTGGAAGGCTTACATTCTTTTGCTTGTGCAGGCTGATTGCTAACTTGTGTGTTAATTAATGGTAATGATAAGAATGACCTCTATAAGCATTATTGAGTGTATTAATTGTTATGGATCCCCCTTGACACAATATGAGATACTTAACCTATACACGAATTAGCTTCTTTACATGCTTTCATAGTTAACTGTAAGGAAGTTAATGAAAAGAAATTGATAGTATATTTAAATTATTCTTTTACTAAATTTCTCAATATATTTTTTTTTCCAGTGTGCAATGACAATATAGCGCTCATACTGAGAAAATGAAGAGAAGAAGAATGTGAAGAGGTAAAGATGATATTGAGAACAGCATGCTGAAGGAGTTGGATTTTGGCAAGTTTGCATTATTCGACATAAGTAAATATATAAAATTTTCATAAATTATGTACGATTATAGGTTCAATAATAGGAAGAGGAAATTATAAAATCAGGTGTAAGTTCTCTTGACATTCCAACAGCAGAAAAGATGGGTTGGAGTCAGTCTTTTGAATTTGAAACCATGGAATTTGCTATGCAGAACCCTTGAATCATTTTATTGTACATGATAATCCTGTGGATACATGGGCCTCAGAAATTTTGGTTTGCTAGAAGAAATTTCAAAAGCATGGCTAAACTCTAAGTGGACTTTCTAGGAGTCATTTATGTGCATTCTGTGCTAGGATTTCTCGATCTCCTTACAATAGGATACAAGATTTTTTTAACGACTATGTTGGAGACTTTTGAGTAAAAGAAAATGACATTGGTAATGTGGAATTCTTGTAGTCACCGGTGTTAATGCAAGATCCAATAAATTTTTCATTTGTAAAATTATGTTGCTTTTTAACTATACATGATTTCTTGAAATGAGTTATAAA